TGAACCGCAGTGCACTCCGAGTGCCACATATGCATCTATTTTTCAGAAAATTATATCTGCATTTCTCTTACAAGAGCACAACAGGAACCAAAGTAAAAGAGTGTAATGGATACAGCACATAGGATAAATCATATCTTTAAAATAATAATAATAAAATAATAATAATAAAAAACATTTTACACCATGTCCTATATCCTGCTAATATTTTCAGAATATGGCCTTGATTGTAAAACAAAAGCAAGCATTTACAATTTCTGGATAAAGACTGCTTACTCTTATGCAAGGAATGGATGTTTTGTCTTGACAAAATCTTTGTAGTAACTGGACAGAAACATCTCTGTTTCAATATCAGATTGAGTACAAAACAGTGGGGAAACTACATTTTTTCTTATTGGTGGTTGGAAACTGAAGTTATATAAGCAGAAAAAATGTTGACCCTTAATGATACACCTATTTTTTTTTCTTTGATGCGAACAGCTAGAACACCTTTTTGATATTCTAAAACAAAAAAAATTGTTAATCTTCAGATTAATAAATTAGGTCATTATAATAATAAATTAGGTTTTTTTTTCAGTTTTAAAGTTCAGCAACCTCTGACCAAGTATTTACAACAATACTTGAGAGTTCCTTTACAAAAAATACATTTTCTTTTCACATTAAGCATACTGGGTATCTGTGTCTCTTATGACAAGCATTTGTAAAAGAAAAAAGGCAATGCACAAATGGGTAATTAGTATAAAAGTGCCAAGACCTGTTTGGAAAGTTAACATTGTATTATACAGTCAGAGTTATAAATGAGGCAAGCTACAACAAACTTCCAGCTTAATGTGGACAATATTCCAGTAGTTGTTTCAAACAAGTGTTTGAAGAGAAAAAAAAAAAAAGGAAAGAAGAAAACAAAGAAAATCCAGGAGCCGATGGTGTTATTCTATGGAGCTGATTAGTGCTGCATGTATATTGTCATCAGTGTCTCTAGCCAATGCATTCATTAAAAGGCCTTTTTAAGGCTAAGCAGGAAAAGAAAAATAAGAAACACCCTGAAATGTAGCAAGTAGCAAGAGCAACGCTTACTGCTATAATCGTGCACGTACTGTACACACGCAAACACAAGAGTGCACACACCCACACACGCGCGCACACACAAACACTTTCAAATCAAATCAAACCAAACTGTAGGTAGAATGAGATGCTCTTTTCTTGTCTTTCCTAAACTCACAAGCGATTAAGCATTGATATGGAATGCCTGTTTATCTGTTTCTGCTCTGGGTAAAATCTCTCTCAGATAAAAATACATTCAACAAGAAAAAAAAATAGAAAAAAATATATACTGTATACATAGCATTTTATATATACAGTATATATATGTATACTGTATATACACATGCACGTATATATACACAGATGTATAACTACATGCATTTGTATATACATATATATACACAAACATACAAATACTTTTTGTTGTTTTTAGCATAATTATATTTACATAAATATTCCTATAATGCTAAAGTTTAAAGAAGCATGATCTCCTTTTTTTTTTTCTGAGCTTCAAAAAAGGTGCTTGAGTAATATACAATTAAAATTAAGCAGCTTCCTAGCATGGAAGTAGTTTCTAAATCTGCATACCAGTAAATAAGAACATCAACAGGAAAAAAACAACAACCTTAAAACAGTCTCTTTTTTACTCTCTTGTAAGCAAGAGCTTTGTCCAACAAAAATATTTTTCCTTCTCCTGTATGAACAACCAGAGATTGATATAAAATAACAAAACAAAACCACAACAGACAAAACAAACAAACAAAAGCCCCTGGAACTGCATGGTGTTCTTGACTTTTCCTTCCTTCCTTCAATACTGCTGTCAAAAGATCCAGTGCTCATATCAGGAATTACTTAGGCCTCAGTCATTTGCTAACTCTGCCGAAGTCTGGCTAATCTAGCCAATCAGCTTTGAAGAAAACAAAAATAAAAACAAAAAGCAGCACAAGGTATAATTTTATACATCCTTAATAAACCCACCCTTTATTTTCTGCTATAACCTTTTCCTTGCTATTTCATTAACTACTGCAGCTTCTCATCATATAGAAAAATATTTGCAGCTACACCACACTTGTGATGCGACAAATTCTGTTCTAGGAGTATATTACTGTAGCAACAGCTGGAAAAAAAAAAAAAATCAGACCTTTTCATATTTTTTTCACCTGGGGTTAGGCTTTGCTGCAACAGATGCAATTTCAGAGCAACAAGACAAACCACTATCCTGCTGCTCGGCAGTATTCTTTATTCGTTTTGTTCTCCAGCCAAGCGTGACCAGCTTTTCTTCTCTGAAGCTTCCTTTTACCTCATTGCCTACCCCTAGCCCCTGATTCCCCCTCCCAAAAAACCTCTATAGCTATGTTACAAGCAAATACATCTTAACAAGTTTTAAAACTTTGGTTCTAAGAAAACACTTGGTCAGTTATCTCAAGGAAAAGTGGGAATGCTTTTTCTGGCACATTGCAGGAGTCAGAGCTCATCCCAGTAAGGTCTTAGAGCTGTACATGTAGTCACAAATCCAATACAATCCACTAAGCAAGTGCACAATTCTAGTTTTATTTTAATAGCAGACTTAGTCTCTCTCTCTCTCTTTTTCTTAAATCCTTGGCAAGGGTGCAATTCTTCAAACTGTTTGATAGAAATTATCTGCCTGTAGGTTGTTCTGTTTCTGCATGCTGTAAAATCCACTGTATCTTGAATCTGGGTCTGCAATTCTTAGCATCCTCTGCGAACTGTCCACCTGGACCATGGTACCTTTCTTGCAGTCCACATATACCAGTTGATTGTTTAGGCAAGAAGGCTGTTAAAACAGAAAGGGAATGTTGATTAAATTAACATTTTTTTCTGTTCCACACATAATTAAAAAGTCTTTGTGGTTCAAGTCCATAAGCACAAAACAAAATCAAATAGGCAATGAAAGAGTCTGGACTTTTGCTGAACTTGGTAAAGGCTTATGCCAGACACAGTAACAGACCAACACTCTCTTCTGAATCGCCATTTTTCGTCTTCTGAATGGAGCTCTGGTATTGCCATATCCCAGACGGACTGGTCAAACTGTTAGTCTAGCACCACACAAGGGCTTAACCTGATTGCCCCAGATGCGCAGCAGCTTGTTTCCAAGACTTTAACAGCCTCTTTATTGCTGATTGTTTTCAAGAATGCTTTGGTTCCTGGTTGCAATTCCACTAAGAGAATGGGACACATCTCAACTGTTCTAGTTAATTCGGGCATGGGGTGTCATATGGGATCCTTCTGTATTCCTTTCCAAGGTGGTTTATGTATTACTTCCTCAATTAGGAAATCATCCACCTTTTATCTAATATTTGCTAGGCCTTAACACCCTTCCAAAGCAGCGTATTATTGTGGAGGTGCCAGTGCTGATGTGGCACTTGGTAGAGTTGTCCTGACTTACTTATAAGCGTAGAACAGGGGATTTAATTTTAGGCAAATGTGGATAAATGAGGTTTGAGTATGTAATGATCTACAAGTGTGAATGCACGTAAAATATTGCTCAAAGAGTTGAGCTATATATACTGGCTTTCCAGTCCTGCTATTCCTCCGCTTGAGAGTCCTTCAACTGAAAGATTCTGCAGCTGAGAGGATGGTGAAACAACGCTGGGTGCACACTACCTTAAATGTTTATGGGCTAAGTATGGAGGTCAGGCAGTAAGCATACTCTATGGATACATAAGAAGTTAGTGACAATGCGTATGTATGCTCACACTATAAGCATACAAGTGGACTGCAAATCCTAAAAATTCCAGTTTCCACTGATGTAGCTTCTTTTTCCAAGACTTAAAACAGAAAATCAGAAGGGTTTTTATTACTAGAAATTTACATTCAATAACCCTTATCACAAAGGTGTTTTTTTTTACCCAGCTATTTATTAGAAAACATTATTTTAAAATGTTTTACATTTAGCTCTTCAAAAGTCTGTGGACTGGATTCACAAGAAAGTCCTGAGATTCACTGATGTTAATGGCTAAGCATTAGCAGTCCATCTGTAATTTTAAACACATTTTCTGTCATCTTTATTTTGGTATTGATATGATTTAAGCACAGCTGTTGATTTATGCTTTATTAAATAGCTGGACTATTTTGAACAGAAATAACATAAGCCAAAACAGGCTTGCCAAAATTTCCTACTAGGAGCCATCAGTCACCCAGCAAGGAGTAAGAGAAACTAACGAGTGACACTTGGTTGAAGAAACCTTAAAATAAAGATACATTTATGACAAAGACCCTCACAAGAAATGTGAGTTTCAGTATATCCATGGTCTTGCATTGAATCTGCATGTGGCTTAAGGTGAGCTTTCTTAGCATATGGATGATGCCTTCTGGTGACACTAAAAAAAAATGATATTTCAGCAATAGAACTATTTGAGGAAAATTATGTTCCATAAGTAAAAAGTATGTAGAATTATTGATTATAGTTCCACAGATAGAAAGCTGTGATTTTCACTTCAGCTTCAACCATTTTGTCACACAGCACTTCGATGGAGAGCAGCCTTTCTGTGAGTTTAGAAGTGACTTCATTAGAGTTAAAAATTAATTTTAAAATGCTGACAACTCATTACTATATGGAGCGGGAAACTTTTTCCTTTAATAGTGAAAAAAAATCATTTAGGACACTAAATAAATACCAACAGACTGACTGGTATAAAAGGAGAAAATAATTTAAGAGCATTCACATGATGCGAACTCAGTCGCATCCTACACCATATTCTAATCTTGTTTTGCAAAAAAAGTGAAGGCCTGGAAACAGTCATAAACACGGCACCTTTGTTGGAGCTTTGTAGCAGGACACTGGAATCCACTGCTTTTTCTGATTGACAAGCAGAAGGACGATGATCAGTAACAGCGCTATCGTGATTGGAATTGTCACCAAGGCAACAGAGCTAACTGACGCATCTTCACTTGGGTGCGGTCCACTGCCACTTCTGTACTCTCCCTGGAGATGGTTCATGTCTGCAAGGCAAATGTGAGCATGTGTTTGTAATTATAAATGGGCCTTGACCATAAAGAAGAATGTAATTATGAAAGCCCCAGTCGTGGATATTGTCACTCACATGAATTTGGACTTTCCTGAAATGTCACCTTATTCATACAAATTAGAACAACTGAAAGGTAGTATCTTATATAGTGACTATATTAGCCAGGAAAAGGCCATCAAAGAGAGAGGAAATAGGATGAAACGTAAAGCACAATAACAAGCAAGTTTGCAATAACCTCATAGCTCAGTGGAGTTTGCATAATCTTATCACAAATAAATTTCCACGTGTAAAAAAAGCTAATAAAAAAAAAAAAAATCAGCCTGTGTTTCTACACTGAGGAAAACCTCAAAGTCTTTGGATGAGAATCCTTTTTTTTTTTTTTGAAAAAAAAAAAAAACAAACCACCAAAACCGGTAAGACAATTATGATGTGTATGCTCTCTCATTTGTTGAGAACATATTCCAATACTTGCACCACTTAACCTGTGAAAACAGACCACTGGCAGTGTACTAGACTACAGCAAGTTTTGCATGTAATTGCAAAGAATGGTAATTTTCAATGACATATGCAACACTCCCAGACAGGTTGCAGTGTATGCTTATAATTCTCAGCCATGATAGTTGGAAGCCAGCTACTAACGCCTGTGAGAAATGACAATGCTGTAATTAAAAAAGTGTAATCTTACAATTTTGTAAAGCAGTTCCATTTCATGTATCCTTTCTCCAAGCCACCAAACAATAATATGCTATAAGATCATCCTCGTTTTTAAAAAAAAAAAAAAATACAAGTTTAGGTAGTCCTTCAATTAGAAAAAGTTAACAAAGACTGTGTCGTAGAGTGTTTCCCCTACCCTGGAATAATGGTTTCAGCATAGTTTTAAACAAAAGATGCATTTACATCCTCAGACAACTTTATTAGCCCCATGTCACTGTACCTGTGAAGTGGTTTTTTTTTGTCTGGCATTTGTCTATGATGTATGTTAAGTTGTGGTACATGTTTTCCCATTTTTGTTTATCAATGTAAAAATGTGAAATGGATCAAACGAAGGTCTATCTACTCCAGTGGCCTGACAACAGCCTTGTTTCTAGTTTTTGTGTCAGAAAAGACATTGCAGAATCACTCCTCATTCACCACTTTATCACATTCTTAATTTTATAGAACTCCATCATACCAACACGGATGTTTCTTCCAAGCTGAAGACAGAATGATAATGAGACCAAATTGCATAAATATAATTTAATAGACTGACTCATCTTTACTCAAAGCAAGATGCTTGTAAGAGTTCTGCACTGAAGAATATTATCAGATAACCACCATTACACAGATGCTACCTGAACAGAACAAATAGATGCATTAAAACATGGGGAATAAACACAGACCTAGGTGAGCCCAGTTTGTGTCAGATCTTACCTCTGTGAATGTGGATGATGTCATTTTCACTCGGTGTTGGCCAGTTTGGTATTTCTAGTTCAATGTCTCCACGATGATTTGTCTTCTCAATGGGGATGTTAGTAGGTTCAGGTACGTACATCTCTGAAATGAGACAAATGTGTTTCACAAATCACAGGCTGCTTAACTTCGCAGTGCTGCTCTTAATTCAGAAAATATAGTTGGCCATCTGCAGTGCTTTGTCCTCTGAATCCTTTCATTTGCTTCAGAATTTTCACCATTACTAGTCTGGGATTTTGTTTTAAGACTTGTTTCATACTGCACACAGGGTATCTGCTTGCTGCCATTATCATTATCCTAATATGAATGGGATGATCCAGTCGTGTGGACTTGCTTTTGAAAGTACCATTTCAGAATACACACTTTAGTACAACTTTGCCCTTTTGTGATATCAAACCAAAAAATACCAAGGGAAGTTTACATTTTCCCAGCTGATCTGTAAACTGCCACTGCAGGTTTCTTTTCCTTCCTTTTTTTGTAAGTAGGGGAATTGCAAGAGGGGGTACTGCTGAATCTCCCCAGCTGTCCTGTGGGAAGTAGTTACCAGCTGACTGAGCAAGATGCGCAAACTCCTGCAGAGGTATGTCAGGACTAGCATTAAAAACCACTTGCAATTCTTATGTCCCTTGTGTCCAAAATTTATATTAATTTTAAGCCAAATTAAAATGATAAAATAATGCAATAGTTCAAAATTAGGGAAGAGACTTGGAAAATACAGAAACATTAATCACTGACAGTCTGTAGAGATGTAAGAATATTCATTTTCCTACTTCGCTAATGTATTTCCGTAACCTTGTGAAAGGACAGAGCAGGAACAAGCAACTAATTTCGAAATTCAAAGTTCTCCGAATAAGCAAAATTCAAACT